AAAACTCTTTCCCTCATTAAACTTAAACCAAACTCTCGAATGCTTCATGATTTCCAAACACATAGACTTTAAGTACTACTTTTAAGCCTGTTTCGACCTTGGAAGCAGCAGCGTGATGGTCCGCTCTCATCACAAGGTACGTCTCATGTGCCACGTCTCGCCACACGACTACTTAAAATAACTCTGTCCGCTGAGGAAGGAGGACACTAGGTCTGTCTGCAAGCTTCAGTAAAGTCAAGGGATGAAAGAATAACGTGCTGCAGAGCTTCTTGTTATCCGACACCCGGAGCGCACATCAGCTGTGTCATACAGAAAGTGAGCAATGTAGCTGGATGTGATTAAACTGAGTCGACACGTGTCAGCGTTGTGAAATAAGACAGTTGTGGATCCTGACGTTCATCGCTCTTGATGCTCACTTCATCAAAACGAGGCCCTTTCACTTCAGGCGCTGTGATTTCTCTAATCTGATTCACTGCTCGACATTTTTTGACACTCTTGTTTGATAGCAGGAAAGTATTGATGTTTAACACCAAGCATCCGTCCCAGAGAGCCCTTTCAATCCCACTCAGTTTCTTTTACACATTATATCTGAGTCATTCATTTGCTATTCTTGAATTCAGTTGTAGTAAATACGGCTTAAATACATGCAGTTCGGATTCGGTCGCCTCTCCTGGCTCCGATGTCTCTCTGTAACACTCTGCCACTTCCAAACACCCTCAGTGAGACAGTATTTTTAGTCCTCTCACTTTCATGACGCTGACATCGCTCGCGGTGCCTTCAGGGCCTCAGAGTGCCGACTCAACCGCGATGAAGCTGCTGTACACTTTGTGTGAGCTCACGCCGACCTTCTTCCCCCCTTCGCTGAGAGCAGGCGGCCGATTGGCTGCTTTCCAGACAGGCAGCCAACCAACCACGCAGCAGTGCTGTTATTCAGAGCGGAGTGAGAAGCCTCTCCGGTAGGCTGTCTGAGGATTAGTTCCCTCTCTGTTATGTCAACACGGGGACCAGATTGGTGCTTAAATGGATTTTCCATGATAAAATCGTTGCTTCCAAACATTGTGCTGGTGGAAGCAGATTCTGACCGCACAGTTTTACTGTAGACAGGGGCTTCCTGGTACAGTTTTTCTTGATTCGATGATTGATTTACATGTTTGTATTTGAACTAGTTAGAACAAACTGTTATTTCTGCGTTCACTTTGTGTGCACTGTTGAAGCTGAGCAACAACTTGACCCATTTTAAAGGTGCATAGAGGTCAACACTTGTAATATGAAGATTGCTTTTGTCATCACACCATCATGTTTTTGCTTAGAACTTTGGTTTGAAGCAAAAAAAAATAAGGATGTCTTGATCGGGGCCAATCAAGACAACTGATCGATATCATCTGAAGACTAAGCCTGGTCCTTTGTTTGCTTCTGCTGTTGGACGTGTTGTAAATTTCAATAATTTACTTAGTATGTACATGAATATTAATAATTGAGTAATGCTGGGGCCGCCGCTATAGCTCAACTGGCTGAGCTGGCGACCCATGTACAGGGGCTACAGTCCCTGATGCAGCGACCATCGGTTCAAATCCCGCTCATGGCCTTTTGCTGCAAGTCCTTCCCCCACTTTCCTGTCTCTCTCTTCACTGTCCTATATAATAAAGGCAAAAAGACAAAAAAATAACTTAAAAATAATAATAATAATAATGATAATTGCGTATTGGCTAATATCAATTTAGAATACTTTTTATCTGTTGTGTGCTGATATTGATGTCAAAACTGCAGATGCATGATACTGGTTGCATTGACTGGGATATAAGAAAGATGTTATATTCGATTCCTACTTGATTTAATGCATGTTCGTTGGCTCATTAAGCCTCACAAAGGGCTTTGTCATGGTGCCCCTTCATTCCCACAATGCTCCACCTGCTCTAATAACTACAATATTAAACAGTAGGAGTACTGCAGCTAATCTACAATACTTAAAGTATTTATTATCTACAAAAATGGTTTCAGATTGGGACTTGGTATTGGCAGATAATAAATGTTAAACACCTCTGAGCCGATCGGGAGAAAAACAAAACTTCTTTGGGACATCCCAACAACAACAACAACAACAAAAACATTAAAGTGCTGCAGAATATAAAAGACAACCAGTCAGACAACATGTGAAGGAAAGATTCCCTGTGTGTGCCTGTATAAATCAACACCTGA